ATAAAAATAAAAATAAATATAAATATAAATATAAATATAAATATAAATATAAATATAAATATAAATATAAATATAAATATAAATATATATATATATATTTATAGATAGATAGTGTCTGCATGTCTGTCTGTCTGTATGTATGTACGCATGTGTGTATGGGTGCGCGCGCATATATATATATATATATGTCTTGTATTGTAATGTAATGTAATGCAATGCAATGTAATGCAATGTAATGCAATGTAATGCAATGTATTGTAATGTATGTATGTATGTATGTATGTATTAACTGTATGTATGTACATGCGTATGTATATAGATATAGATATACAGAGACAGATACAAAAATATAGAGAACAGGCCCCACTACAGGCCCATTTCCTCACGATGACGTGAATGCATGTATGTATGTCTACGTGCATAGCAGGTGAAGCCATGGCGCCAGAGAATTTGGTCGAGCTCGCCGAGGCGGCCCTTTTGCGGGCGCGCCGGCTGCCGACCCAGGACAAGGGGATGCCAGTGATAGCTGAGAGGGATGTTGAGGGTTTCAGGGCTTGAGGGTATACAAGGTCTAGGGATATCTAGAATTTAGGAGTTTAGAGAAGACTGCGATGCATGGACGTTCACACTTGTTTTTGCCCAGCGGAGTCGGGCTGGTTTCAGGACGGAAGGCGGTCCCAGCAATATATGTCCTTACAAGCCGCTGTAGCACATGACCCATGGCCGCCGTCACTGCCGCATTACGGTGGAGTGATGCGAGCCAAAAAACAAAGGGCCGAACAAAAATGAAGCAGCATGGGAGCATATCACTCTTTGATCAAGGCTGCAGTCAAGACAGGCGCGCCACTCAGTCACTGAACGTGCACCACTCGTGACTGTTATTAGAGGCGACGGTAACTTCACCAACTTGTCTTTTGGACACCGCATATCCGAAACTGTTCCATAGCTTTGATTTCAGCTTGGGAGTGTTGTCTCGTACTGTGTCACCTGGCTACGTTGGAGAGAACTCGGCCAAACAGCTTGCAATACGATCACTCAACTTGTGGAGGGTTTCGCTTTGCCGCACACGTGTACTTTACATCAAGATGTTTTGGATATCCACCTGCTGACATGGTTCGGGAAAGCCGGAGGTGCCTTCACAGCTGAGAGAGTTTAGCATTGCTCTGATGAGGGACATTTATTTGCGGAGATGCTGAAGAGAGAACAGATGCAAACACCAGAGACAGCGTTCAGATGCCTGTCGGTTAAGGAGTGGCATGGTGTAATGCCAGGTGGACAGACCAGCAATGATAACTTGCCAGTTGAAATGCAAGACAATGGAAAAGTCTGCTTGACTGCTTGCTTCCCTACGCACATGCCTCCAGTCTGTGATATGGTAGCTTGTACAGCAGCCGCGACTCTCACCTTGAACCATGTGACGAGGTGTGAAGCTGCTTCAGACCATAGGCAATAGGAATTTAGGATGTCAATAACCTATTCAAGCCAGTTTACGTTAAGCAAGCAATGAGCCAGCTAGGAAGCAGGTTAACACAACCATGCATCGATATCCGGCGAATGACTGGGGTCTCTTTCCAAGCCCCATCCGCGATTCTCTCGCGTTGCCGAATCGTGAAGGTGGCAAGATCCATTTTGAGCTGATAAGTCTGCCGAGGGAGCTCCTGAGCAGAGCAAGCCCAACCCAAGTAGGTTCATACGAGCAGGCACACACCCTGAATTGCCTGCTTGCTCTCTGTCACTTTGCTTTTGTTTTTATTTCTTCTCTTTGCTTACTATAGTAAATTTTACATATACACATACAAGTATATGTGTATATATATATACACATTAATTTAAAGTTGCACTGTATATAATGTAACTAGCATTCAACTACAGGTGCGATTCTATCCGAAATGGGCAGTCGAGCACTGTAGGAAGCGATTTATGTACGACGGCAGGATGCGCTGGCCACTCTTGCGGCACTGGAACGGCAGAATGCTGAAGATCCCAGCGTGGTGTCTGTGGGGATCTCAGAGGAAAGTCTTCGCTGCAGGCTTGTACGGGAACGAAGCCAAGGGCGGCATAGTTTCCCTGTCGAGTTGAACGGAGGCACTAGCAGAGCGCATTGCGGTCCTTGCAAATGCCTGGTGCCCTTACACAGTTGAGATACCTAGCCCACGCGGTCTGCCTATCTGTGTGTCGCTTACATGAGGCCATGGCTTTGGAGGAAGCGCTGGAGGCCATGGCACTGCTTCGCCTCGAGCTCAGCTGTGAAAATCCGGTATTCGGTTCGCTGCAGCTCCACGGCTTCATGTTGCTGCAAGTGCACAAGGCCGGCGCTACGCGGAAGCCCCCAACAACAGGAGCGACTGTCACTGCTGCGTGTCACTGCTGCGTGTCACTGAAAGAACTGGAGCGCGATGCCCTGCACACCTGGGTTGAGGCGCCACGTTGGGCCAGCACTCCAGGAACTGGAGCTGCGTTTGCTGGAGTGTGCCCTTTGCTCCCTTTTGTTCTGAAGACAATACCAGAGCGCTCCGCGCGCCCGCAGCGCCCAGCCAACGAAGGTGCCCGCGAGCCCCGGGGCTTCGTCCGCGTGCTCGCCGGTTTGGCGGCTCCTGCGAGCATGCCTGAAATATGGCTGCCAGCCAACCAACGGCTCAGTGCCACTTTGGCGGCTCTCACTCCACAGCTGAGAGGCAGCTCGGGACCGTCACCTTTCTGGGATGTTGTGGTGTTGGCTTGCAGCCAGAGGCCTCAGCTACCATGATCTCGTCTCCATCGCGCCTCGGCACGTGCTCAGGACACACGTTGGGTACAGGCGCTTGTTCCAGCACTTCAACTTCGGATCAATAATTGGCATGCTGCATCGATTCAGCCTGGTGCCGTTGCTTCTGGGTCTCGCTTTCGGAAACAGCTCCTGAGCACAGCGCCCGCGCACGTGGCCTCAGCTCAGGAGCTAGCTTTCGATGTGCTGAGCTCTGGCACGCCGGCAGCACTCTCCGAACTCCTGAGGCTTTGACCTGAGACCTTGGCCTCAGCCGAGTTTGTCGGCTCACGCAGCACCGAGGCAGCAGCGCAGCCTTTTCCTGCAGGAGGCCAGATGCATCCCTTGTTCCCTTCTCCGCCTTCTCCCCTTCCGGGCCTGTCACAGGGCCTCCCCTGTTTCTTTGACAGGCACCGCTCCGTGTTTTGCCTCGGACCTGGCATATTTTACGTGGGGTCTGTGCGAGACGGCCCACTCAGAGGCTTCGCGAGCTCCTGGAAGGCAATTTGGAGGCCTGGGGCCTGGGGGCGGGAAGCAGTTGTGCGTTTGTTCTTCGCGGGCCCTCCCGATCCAAGGTCCTGCCCCCATGGCTCTTGAGGAGTCCGCTGGCCGAAGAAGTTGGAAGCTGAAAGTGTCGACGAAACCGTTCGATTGCTGGTTCCGACCCTGCGCACTTATCCACGGCAGTCTCCTTGCTTACTTTGATGCAAGCGCCAAGACCAAGTCTGAGGCACTGCTCGACAGCTTCGTGCAGAGGTTGGAGGCGCGCGCGTCCGCGTCCCAATTACCCATCCCACAAACTACAGTAGGCCCTCTCTTTGGAGGGTCGCTCGGCCTGGAGGTGCTCAGCGACCCCGCCGCAGACTTCGAGGATCCCTTCGAGTGCCGCTCGGAACTGCGGTGAGCGAGAAAAAGGTCCTTTCTACTGCTACCAAGTAGCAGCTCCTCTTTCTCCGAGGCTTCGAGTTGCTCTCAGCCAAAGGCCCCGCTGCAGCGGAGAAACGCGGCCCGAGTAGCGGCCGCTAGGGGCGGCTTTTGGCAGGTCGACTTCCCAGCAGCTTCCTTCGATCTTTGGCTGCTCCCGGCTCAAAAAGCGTTCGATACTCCTCTACGGCGATGTGACCTCCGCTGACAGTGACTGACAGGCTTGGGTGCGGCGGAACTTGCGTCGTGGGTCCCCCGAGGCCCCAAGAGTGGCACTGAGTGGAAACGAGCACACATCGTTCTTATCTCGCGTGGGTTGCTGCCGCAGGCTTCTGCTCGACTGATAACGGCCTCCCGGCTGTGTGCCCTTGACGATTCGTTCACGGCCCGCAGAATGAAGCTTGGCTTGGAATTGGTGTGACTGTCACTGGCCTCCCCTCCTGCTTTTTCTTGAAGGACTGGCTGCAGAGAAACCTTGGAAGCAGCCATCCGCGCCTTCGTGATCTTCGGCCCACCGGAGAAAAAGTGCTCCGCATGGTGCAGTGCAGCCCTGAAAGACATTGACTTCGAAATTTTCGAAACCGATGAAACCCGGAGGTGGCGAAGGAAGCCGCAGAAGAAGCTCAGAGGCTTGCCGAAGAGAAGGCGATCAGAGAGGCCAGGGTCAGACTAGGGTGACTAGGGCGACCAGAAAGTCGGTGCGTGAGTCAGGTTGAGTTTCACAGTTTAACTTTGTTTAGTCTGTACTTGGTTTCGGTTTTGAAGGAGAAGGAGCGGATCGAGCGGGAGGAAATGCTGGCCAGGGCGCGGGAGGCTCACAAGGAGCAAAGGGAGAAGGAAGAGGACCGCACGCCCCACACCGCGCACCGAACGATGCTGCTGCGATCTGCTCCGCAGTGCACAGGAGTTCCGGAAAGCGCTGAACAGTGATCCAGCGGACTTGCGGAAGGCCGCGGAGGACATCATGGAGGCGTGCGGGTGCGGGGCACGGGAGGCGGCCCCGGAAGCTCATGCAGAGACAGCTCTGCATGGAGGCCGACTACGGCACGGAGATCAAGGTGGAAGGTCGCCAGAGCCTCGGCAAAGGTCGTGGTCCATGGGCGGAGGTCTCTCGGCCAGACCCGTGCTGGCGCCAGGTCGGGGGCTTCCGCTCCGCTTGCTGACGCGCCGCAAGGAGGTGGCCTGGATCTGGGCCGGGGAGGCAGGGGGAGAGCCGCTTCTTCTCTGCCAGTACATCTGTGACAATGCTTTGTAGGTACAGGAGCTCATTGGCGGTGGTGCGCCGGATGACACTTTCACACAGTAGCTTTCGACAACGACACGCCAGCCGTTTAAGGCGAGCTCTGAAGCGCAAGCCATGCTTCCAAAGAGCGAAGCCGCTGGGACTCTGCGCTCAGAGGACCTTTAACCTGCGAGCCTGAAGCTGAAGGTGATTCGGAGAGAGGGCTCCAGGCGCAGCTCGATGCCTCGCAGAAAGCATCTCCGGGGAGTCTATTCGAAAAGACAGCACATGACTCGATGATGCATGGTCGCATGATGCCGCATGGCATGATGTTCCAGCCAAGATCATCGTTTGCCCTCGCTTACGTGCTAGTGACTGCTAGTGAGTGAGGCTGCTCCGACTCGCGCGTCTGCATATGATCCCCAGACATGTGAGTATGGCGGAGCCTTTTTGTGGCGGTTCGAGCCGTTCATGGTAGAAAAGCCGCATGGCTCTCATCACATAGACAGCCTCAGCCTCACCTGACCGGATGTCATCGTGTTCACTTGTGTCAAAGTGTTCTGGAGCGAGAGGCTCAGGCTTCGTGATGGAGGGCTCAGCCCAACTGAAGACTTAAATTAAGAGTTTCCCACATCCTGCATCTGCTTAGCTATCCAGTCCCGCTGTCGTGTCCGTCTTAACGCTCGGATGGACTTCGACTGCTCGGCCGGTGCCTTGGATGCGTGCGCTCTGACGGCAGTACCAACGAGTACCACTTTTCTTGGCAGGATGTCGGTGAATCTACAAGATGGCAGCGCTGATTCCGGGGCAGATGCTGGCATCAGCTGTGCGAAGGTGAGAGTTGCACTGCAGCCATGCACTCCGATACACAAGCTGTGCCGGCCAGGTGTTTTCGTGCCATCATACTTCCTGGTCCGTTCATTCGTCAGTTCCCTTGGAGCTGTTGGTCGCTTTGCTGCACTGGGACTGTCATGGCATGTGGCTTGAGACCTGACGGCAGCGCACCACTCCATTGCAGGAGATTCCGTCAACGAAGTCCGGGACTCACTTCACAGCTCTTCCACAAAGTTCCTTCACGGTCCGAATCAAGTTTCAGCAGCTTTAGATGCACCATTGCTGAGAGTGGAGATAGTTCGGTACGGAGGGAAGAGGGCATCCGATGTGAGGAACCACACGGCCACACCCGTGGGTAGTGAGGCAGCGGCGGTTGAAGAAAGGGCAGCTCTGTGTTTCGTCTCTTCTCGTCCACTCAGTCAGGTCTATGTCTTCGGAGGCTACGACGGCCAGAAGAATCACAACGAGCTCCTGGGCTCAAGGAGCATGTGGAAAGCATGAGACGAGAGCGACAAAAAGCCCTAGCTTGGGCCTGGCTTGGGACAACCTGCGGGGTGGGAGCGAGGCTGGATCAGCCATGTCTGTAGTAGAGCAGAAGAAGACCTGAGCCGCTCAGAGTCAGAGAGATGTGACCTGGCATGGCATGGCTTGGCATGGGCCGCTCTTTTTGCAACGGCTACAGTACCCAGGCTCTGCATCTTTGACCTTCAGTCCATGGAGCTTGGGCCTTTTTTCACTACTGGCAGAAGCACTGCATGTGCAGTCAGCACCTTGCGAGGTGGAGGCAGCCGTCGGTGGGTGGACAGAAGCCAAGTGGAAGGACGCTGACTGTGCGAGACTTCTCCAGCCACGCTCAATTCCCGCTTGTCCACAAGGAACGGGCACTCGGCAACCCTCCTAGCCGGAGGGGCGCAGATCCTGATCCTGGGCGGTTGGTTGGGCAACGGGCCACTCGCTGCAGGCAGGTGGAAAGACTTAATCACGCAGAAAGAGTGTGCGCTCACAAGCCTTCTCCCGAGGGGCTTTGCGGTGGCGCCTAGACCGACAACATACTCGATTCGGGTTCGCCTGCATGTTGCATGTCCTGCAGGCGACATGCACCTGCTGAACTTGGAACCCTTGAAGTGGGTGCCTCCGCGCTTCACCGGCGAGCCGTGAGAAGCCCGGCGGGGTCAGCAGGGAGGGGTAGGCGCTGCGCTTTGCTGCGCTGAGGCCTGGGCCCTGCAACATGCACACGGCCGACTTGGTTGCGCGAAAGCTCCTGGTCTTTCGGGGCGGCGACGGTCGTGCGTCCGGACGCCCAGCGGCCCCGGAGCGACCCGGAGCGCCCCGGAGCTCCTGCAGTCGCGTTCGCGGACGCATCCTCTAACTATGAGGTATTTGAATGATCTGCATGGCTTGGACCTGGATAGCAACAGCTGGAGCGAGCCTCAGAGTTGGGCTGGAGCATGCTGGAGCGGTCTTAGCGGCTCTGCGTCATGTGAAGCTTCGGCAGGTTTTCTGTGAAGACCTCGGGCGAGCAGCCGCCTCCGAGGGCGAATCACGCCTCGGCAGTGGACGATTACAGGCCGCCACATCTCCCACACCGGCAGAGTGAAAGTGCTGTGAAAGTGCAGGCTTTACATCTTCGGTGGCTGGGATGGCACAAAGCGATTGAACGACCTCTATGTGCTGGCAGTATGCTCAGTTTCGGTTTCGGTGAGAATCTAAATGAGAGCATTGCCAGTGGAGCACCTGATGAGGACAACAGAGACAGCGTGTGGACAATGCTCAAGCCGACGGGTTATGCCCCACAGGCCACTGGCCGCAATGGCCGATGGAAGCTGTCTCAATCCCTGACAAACAAGAGGCCCGTGCTGGGATGACGCTTTCCATCATCCGGGATTGCCGGGCGCCTGCATCATTCGAGGGACGAGCACGCAAGGCATCGGTGTTCCATGTATGTCTCAGGCTTGTACTTGTTCGGTGGCTCGGGCCACACCACCCGCTGCTTTAACGCCGGAGCCTCGGACCGTCACAAAGCGCCACGGCCCCGAGCCGTGAACTTATAAAGGACGTGCACGTCTACGACCCAGAGGAGCAGGCGGATGCGACGTTGGGCCGTGGCGGCTGGGCTTGGCAGTTGCCTGTTTTGCAGCAGGCTTGGTTCCTCTGTGTACAGTCGCCCTCCGAGAGTGTCGAGCGCCTGGGCCCTAGGGGCCAAACGACTCTCTCTCGACTACAGACTCTCTCTCTCTCTCTCTGTGAAGTTTTAGCTTGTGTTGGCTTTGCACTTGGCATATGAGACGCATCCGCTGCGGCCCTTTTCCTCTCGCCTAAGTGGGCCCACTGAGCCGTTACCTTTTCTGCGATGGCTCCAAAAGACTGCGTGCGTTAGAGCTTTGAGCCACTCTTGCTAAGTTGGCACCGGAGCCTGCTCTTTAGGGCGGTTCCCCTCTACTTGGCAGCGCTCCTCATGCCGAGCATCCCGGAGATCTTCAAGATGAACTCCGGTGACCCGGAAGACGAGGCTGCAGAAGAGCCCTGTGAGGACGTGGAACAACCGAGCCTCGAGGAGTCGGACCACCAGGTCGAGATCGAGAACGGCCCGCCACGAGCCCAGGGACCTCAACTTAATGTCTGGAGGTGTCTCCGATGTGACAGCAGCCGGTGGACCAGGAACCTGTATGGGACTTACCTCTGCATGGCTTGCGAAGGAACTGAGTTTTACTCGTGCCGCCAGCCCCACCGAAGAGTCACAGAGGATGGCGTCTGGATGTTCATGCCGCGGCCTGCTGCAGCCCCTGCCGCCCCTGGTCAGGACGATGGCGACAGCCCACCAGGACAGCACAAGGCGCTCTCGAGACGACAGAGGCGACGACAGCGGCTGGAACAGCAGAAAGCCGGCGGACCTCCAGGTCCTCCAAGCGAGCCCGACACCCACAGCGAGAACCCCGAGTCCGAGACTTTGACCTTTGACCCAACGGTGGAGCCGGAACCGGTGGAGCCGCCGGCAGCGAGGACTACTACCCGGACTTCCCTGAAGACCTCGTGCCCTGCCTCTCCACCTTCTTCTTTCGGACCTACCGGAGGGGCACGACCGACAGCACCACCGATGGCATCTTCGACTGGACCGGCCCTTCCGAAGGCTACCGCCTTCCCGGAGGGCAGACAGGCAGCCAGCCCCTTACACCTCGAGTCCTCGAGCTCTACTACGTGGAAGTCGAAGATGGGACCGGAAAGGGAGTAAAGTGGCGCGGGGGCACGCCACCGCAGCCGCCAACCTGGCGATATGATCACCAAGATCCCCGGGCATACTCCAAGTATGCTAAGAAGGTGGCGCTATGGCGCATACAGGTGGCTTCGTACATGTCACCGCGCGAAGCAGCGCTTCTCCTCTACACGAGCCTCACCGGGGAAGCGGAAACCGAGTTAGAACACGCCCCCATCGAGTCGATCAACACCGACTCCGGGATAGACTTTATACTGGAGACGCTTCGGACACCTATGGAACAAAAGCTTGTGTTTCAAAAACGCAAGTTTCTCAACGAGTACGAGAACATCCAGCGGCAGCCCAACGAAGCTCTCCGGGCCTACTCGAACCGCTATCGGCGTGCCGAGAGGAACCTGCGCGCCGTCGGCATCGAGGTGGCCCAGATGTACGACGACGACAGCCGTGGCAATCGCCTCCTCGATCGTGCTCGTTTGTCCCCTGCCGACCAGCGACTCATTTTGGTCGGAAGCCGCTACAGCCTTGCCTTTGAGCAGATCGCCGAGTCGATGCACATGCAGTACCCGGAGTTCAAGGCGGCCCCGGCGATCTTCGGCAGGGACGGCCAGCCCTTGAACCGCAAGGGCGACGGAAAGGGCAAAGACGGAGCAGCAGCGCACCCAGCGCCCTGGCAGAGCAGCCGTCCTCCGAAGGGCGGACACGGAGGCAAAGGAGGCGCGCCTCGGCGCGTTTACCTCACCGAGCAGGCCGAGGAGAACGCGCTTGACGACATCCCCGAGGAGCACACGGCCGAGGCGGAGCCGGACGAGCCGGACGAGGAGGACGCCGTGACCGAGGAGGCCCCCCCGGACGAGTCGGAGACGGATGCTATTGCCCAGGCGGCGGAGGTGCTCACGGTCACGGCCAAGAAGCTGAGCGGCATGAAGCTCGGACGGAAATTTTCCGGTCAGCCGAACAAGGACGTGGCCGCACAGAAGCGCACCACCCATTGCGCCGTGTGTGGCCAGCTGGGTCACTGGAAGGGCGATCCAGAGTGTCCCGGGTCCCCTTCACTCACCTAAGCCAAGCGGTGCCGGGAGCCGACAGAACACCTCGAACCCGAGCTCTCCGAAGCCCGGCCGCCCAGAACACCGAGAACGACGTGGCCCCCACCAGGCCTTCTACATGCGGGATTTTGGCTCGCTCGAGGTGACGGATGCCGAACCCCCGGAGGAAACCTACGGCTCGGTCTTCCAGATCAACGTGGTGTTTGACATCCAAGCAGATGTGCCCCTCGAGCCCGGCTTCCAAGACCTGATGATCCTGGACACGGCCTGCCAGAGGACCTGCTGTGGCCTTGACTGGGCCAAGGAGCACACCGAGCGGCTGCTAGATTTTGGTCTGAAGCCTCGCACCATAGCGTGTGCCGATGCTTTTCAGTTTGGGGCAGGCCGGCCGATTACCGCCCGGACCCGCACCTACTTTCCCACGGGACTTGGAGGAGCTGACCTCCTGATCGCAGCCGGCACCCTCGATGCCAAAATTCCTTTGCTCGCTTCCAATAGGCTTCTTGATGCTCTGGGGATGGTTCTAGACATGCCGAACAGCAGCATGACCTTCACCAACCTGTGTGTGACAGTGCCTTTGCTTAGGGTCCGCGGACACCTCGTTGTGAACATTGTGCAGTTTTCTGAGTGCAGCCAGGGCAGCCCTAGTTGGAGAGCCTTGCAAGACGGTGTTGATTGGAACGACCCTCCACCAGAGCTTGTGGTTCAAGGAGATCTAGGTGCCGCTCCTTCATCGGCGCCTTCTGCTGCACATGCCTGGCCTCACGGGCCAGCTGGCGACTCCACCGCAATGGTTGCGCAAGTGGCGGCGGCTCGTGAAGGCGATCCTCGACTTCAGGAAGAACTTCTTCGTGACCCTCACCACGGCCGTTCGCCTCGGCATGATCCCGGACACCGTCTACGAGGCGGTGCCGCCAGAGCTGGACACCCGGTTCGCACATCCGGCCGGGACGTGCCCACACCCGGACTATGTCCGCTACGGAAACGCGTACGGGAAGTTCGCCCGCTGCAAGCAATGCCTCAAGAGATGGAGGTGGAATCAAGATGCCCGTCTTTGGGAAGAACACCCCGACAAGGCCTTCGACTGCAAGCTGCTCGATTCGCGGCCGCCCTTGCCGTCTTCCTCCAATACTGTGCCTCGGGCTTCAGCGGCGGCAGCATCGAGCCTGTCCCGGCCTACCAGGACGGCTTCCCTCTCTGCAGCAACCCCCAAGAGATCCGCGACGGCGAGGCGTTCTACACGTCGGGCACGGCCAAGCAGCGGCAGCGAGATGGAGATCGACCCCTGGCGGCTGATCAACGAGGAGACGGACTACAACTGGGAAGAAGTCGAAGACTAAAGGGCGACTGGAAGAGGTCGGCCAAAATTTTGGAGCGCGAGGTCGGGATGTACAACAACCAGCCGAGCGCGCAGGAGCGTGCGCCACACACCGTGGACCTCTTTGTGATCTACCCCGACCGCTTCGACATCCAGACCGCCGCGGCCGAGCTCGAAATGACCTCGACCATGCTCCCACTCACCATTGGGGAGCGTCTTCCTGGCGATCCTTCTGCACGACAACACGCACACCGAGCACTACGGCGGCTTCGGCCACACGTTCTCTACCTCTCCTTTCTGGACCGCGCCTTCGGCAACGACGAACGTGGCTTTGTGGAGGAGCTCTTCAAGGAGCAGACGGCCTCCGGACGAGCCGTCGTGATGCTGGGCCCGGCCGGACCTAGAATGAAAACCCTCGGGCAACAACCTGGCGCAAATACTTGCAACTTCGGGGATGGCCCCGGCGAGACGACTCTGATTACAACCGTGCCGGGGGCGACCTCATGGTTCTCTACGGCATCCCCGCGCAACCTCGACCGCAAGGGCTTTCTCGACCCCCTCCTGGGCATGATTCGGAACTATGTGCGCAGCCGCGACCCAAGCCGCTTCGGTATCTACCAGGCCTTTGTGACCTACCGCAGCCCGGTCACCCGTCTTGAGGAGTGGGACGAGATTGCCGAGACACTGGCTAGGTCCTTTGGAGCACCCGGCACCCGACCTTTCTACATCGACCCGGGCAGCGAGCTTGGCCGCAACGTGGCAGACCTTTTTCGCATCAAGCTCGAAAAGGCCCAGGCCGTGCAAACGCCCTCTCAGAGGCGGCTTCCTCAGGACGTGCCGTTCACGGCCCGCGGCGCCTTCCTGGTGCACAACGACGGCACCAAGACTATTGAGCTCGAGGACCTGAGCCTGGTGCACCAGCCCAAGCAGCGATTCGCCAAGCCCGTCCGGTACGGTCTGCTTGTGTACGGGCACTTGATACCTGAGGAAGAGTCGCAAAAGACGGCAGAGCCGGGAGTTCCAATCTCTGGGCTGCCGACCGACGTCTCCTTTCCCGGCCTCTCGAACCAGGTGCCGGTCGAAGTTCGGCGGTCTATCGCGAGAGCCCATATCAACATGGGTCACCCCACGGCCGAGGAGCTGATTCGGATGGCCAACGCGGCAGGAACGCCGAGCTCAATGTTTATCGAGGCGATCCGCAAGCTCGAGTGCGCTACCTGCTCCCGGTTGAAAGGACCTCAAGCACCACGACCCGCAGCCTCAACAATAACGGCCACTCAGTTCGGCGACCGGGTCGAGGTGGACATGTTCTACCTACGGGACCTCCAAGGCAGGAGCTGCATGGTGCTTGGTGCCGTGGATTCTGCCACTCGTTTCCACCAGGCCGCCGTCCTCAAGAGCCGGGACCCGGAGGATGCTTATGAAGCGCTGGAGGCAATGTGGCTCCGGCCCTTTGGGCTGATGGTGCAGATTGGCCTGGACCCTGACACCACCTTCCAGGGAGCTTTTCAGGAACGACTTCGCTCCCGCGGCGTCATGGTCGACTACTGCCCGGCCGAGGCACATTGGCAGATTGGACAAGTGGAACGCCAGAACGCTTTCCTTCGGACCGTGCTCGAGAAGCTCGTGGACACCTTTGCCGCCGCCGGTGTGGAGGACATCCGTCTTCTACTGGCACCAGCCCTCCACGCGGTGAACAGCATGACTCTGAGCCGCGGGAGGTCAGCTTTCCAGGCAGTGTTTGGCCGAGTGCCCAGGCTCCCCGGCGGGCTGTTCACTGACTACAACAGCCTCACCACGACGCCAACGGATGACCCGGCGGCAACTGCCGAAATTATTCGATCGGAAGCTCTGAAAACTATATGTGATATGAATGTGCGACAAAGTTTTCGGCGAGCTCTGTTGCGCAAGACGCAAAATACCAAGGTGCCCCAGCTCGAACCAGGACAAGCCTGCTCTTACTGGCGCTGGCGCAAGCGAGGACTGAAGAAAAGAGGGGGATGGATCACTGCACGATTCCTCTCCTGGGACCCCGCGGCCCGCAGCGCCCACCAAAATGGCTTGGGTCCGATCCGGCACGACCACGGCCCTGGTGGCAGTGGAACAGCTCAGGGCAGCGACCGGCTTCGAGGCGTGGCTTCCTACCGAGCCAGACGTGGCCGCGTTGAAAGACGCGTCCCAGAAGCTTGACCAAAGCTTGTGGGCGGATGAGTCAGGACCACCTCCTTCGGCACGAGACCAGCTGAACCCAGAGGCGGATTTCGAGCAAGATGTTCCCATGATGGACAGGGATCGGGAGCTTACCGCGGCACTAGCCTCGGCTCCGACACCGCCGGTGGTCCCGACTACCTCGCCTACGACCCCTTCGGCGCCACTTCAGCCTCAGACCAACGTGCGGGTGGAGATGCACGATCAGAGCTTCACTCGTTCCGACACCTTGGTGTACCAACCCACGGTGCAGAACACTTTTGTTCGTAACACGGCCAGGCTTGGAGAGCCCAGCCAGGGCCTAAGACGCGGCACGTCTTTGCCACGAACACCGCGAGGAACGTCTGCGCCAAGGACGCCTGGAACCCCGAGAACATATAGGAGCCGTTCCCCTGCCCCAACCGCTTCTTTGGGCAACACAGAACGGCCACCAGAACCACGACAGCTACCTCAAGAACTTCCAGAACCTCCTGTACCTCCTGTTCCCGTGCCTCAGGTAGAGTCTGCGACGAACCCGCCAGAACCACAACAGCTACCAGAAGAACTTCCAGAACCTCCTGTACCTCCTGTTCCTGTGACGCCACTTGAGGTAGGCTGGGAGTCTGCACCCTTTGAGTCTGCGGGGTACGACACCGACTTTGAACCTGAAGTGCCACTACCAGAGCAACCGGAACAGCGACAGCAACCTGCCGGAGTACCACAACAAGAGCTCGAGCCGCAGGCACTCTCAAGCGCGCCCCAAGCCGCAGCAGGGAGCGCTCGTGACTCGTCCGACCGGCCACCCACGACACCAGTGACAAGTGGGCCGTCGACTCCAAGTGTGGAACCGCCGGGGTTGCTTCCAGCCAAGAGGACCTTCGACGCGCTGACCACGCTCTTCTTCGACGAGGACGTCCTTTACCACCGAGTCCCAGGGGACGAGCTAGCCGAAGGACACGGACCGATGCCTCACCGGGCCTATGAGGCCTACCTTAGCTCCGAGCACCGGGCCGACGACCTTCACAACGACACCAAGGACCCCCGCGAGAGCGACACCAGCGACACAGACTGGGAGGATCAGCCACCCGGGAAGAAGCACCAAGGAATGACCCGTGCAGAGGCCAAGGCTCTCGATCGAGAGATCCCCTGGCGCAAGATCCTCGAGCTCGACCAGCCCGACATCCAGGCCTATGTCAAGGCAGTGGAGAAGGAGGCAAAAAGCTGGGAGGAATGGGGTTCAGTCAAGGCCCTGTCCCACCAGGAGGCACACAGGATACTTCGTGACCGTATCCTGAGCAAGCGCGTCCTGAGAACCCGGAGTTGCTTTCGGGACAAGAGCAAGGGGCTTGGCGAGCTTCGTGCCAAGTGTCGCGTTGTAGCGCTCGGACACAAGGACCCGGACATCTACAAGCTCAACCGCGAGTGTGTGACGCCGAACCGCGTATCTGAGCACGTGCTCTTCATCATCCTCGTGTCCGGCAGCAACGGCGAGTTCGGCGAGAACAAGAAACGATGGTCCGGATGGTCCGGAGACGCCTCCACGGCCTTTCTGCAGGGGGACATCTCTTCAAGTGAGAGAGACATGCCGCTCTACTTGCTCCCTCCCTCGGACGGGGTCACTGAACTCACCTCGTGCTGGAAGGCCCCGCTCTACCTCGTGTGCACCAACGTCTACGGCTTGAGCAACGCGCCCCGACTGTGGTCACTCACCGTAATCAAGAGGCTCTGCGACCTCGGCTACCGCCAGCACTCGTTCGACAAGATGGTCTTTGTTAAGTTCGATGCGGCGGACCAGCTGGTCTCCATCATCATTGTCTATGTGGACGACTTCCTCGGCGCCTACCGCTCCGACTATAACGTCGACGAGGTGCACAAAGCTTTCAAGTGGGGCTCTCTGGAAACTTTTCGGCCAGGCCAGGCTGTGACCTTCAAAGGGAAGCAGATCACCCTGCGCCAACGGGCCAACGGCCGATGCTACCTCCATGTGTGCCAGAAGGAGTTCATCGAGGGCATGACTTCCGGCAAGATCCCTCGAGGCGCCGATCCTGACGCTGTTTTATCTACCGAGCAGCGAGCTGAGTTTCGCAGCGTCACTGGCTGCCTGCAGTGGATCTCCGGACAAAGCCGCCCGAAATCTCCGCGGTCAACAGCCTGTCGAACCACAGAGGCCAGACCACGCTCAACGACCTTCGCTCCCTCTACCAGGCAGTCGACTTCGCGAAGGCGACTCAAGAGAACGGCTTTGATCCCCGACGTTCCCGTCAACAAGGCCAGCGTGGTTTTGAGCTTCAGTGACGCAAGCTGGGCCAATGCCGAACACTGCCGATCTCAGTGCGGCGTACTCGTTTTGCTCTGCGGGCCTACTGTCTTGCAGCGGCCAGCACCTGCTATGCTCTTGGACTGGCGTTCTTGCAGGTCCACGCGGGTCTGCCGATCTACCCTGGCAGCCGAAGCTTCAGCTTCAGATGAAGGATGCGATCGGGCGGCCTACGTGAACTTGCAAGGAGCTGCAACAGTCGCTGCACGAATGGTTGCAGCAACCGCGGGTGACACTGCGGAAGGTCTCATAACCAACAAAAGACTTTAACCGGTGTGAAGTTTTAGCTTGTGTTGGCTTTGCACTTGGCATATGAGACGCATCCGCTGCGGCCCTTTTCCTCTCGCCTAAGTGGGCCCACTGAGCCGTTACCTTTTCTGCGATGGCTCCAAAAGACTGCGTGCGTTAGAGCTTTGAGCCACTCTTGCTAAG